CTAGTTATCAAGCAATAACACTTTCCAGAACAATGAGGAACATTTCCATCCATAGCTTAAAAACATCGACGAAAAGATTGAGTTCAAGAAAGAAGTTCAAAATTAAGAGCGGAAAACGTGCCCAAGATTTTTAATTGATATAGTTAGTGAAATATTCTGGACTAAATCAGTTTCTTGACTACTTATATTGAAAAGGACAACCCAGACCCATCGCAACCAGTATTTCATCAGACTCTATCTCACTAACACTTCTGACTTCAGGGAGAAGCCTCGTCAGAGAACTCTCAAGAACCCAATCTCTATATGGTGAAAGAACTACTGCTGGTTGGATGTCATAAAATGCCACTCAAATATTGAAAAAACTTATAGACTCAGTAGCTACCTCCTGCAAGTAACAACCTTCAACCTAATTGGCGAACAAGTATATTTCAGATTTAAAAATTTCAAAGTTAAAACTAAGCTATGAAATACATTTAAGTAAATTTTTTTCTTTAAATCATTAAGAGCAATCGCCGCTGTGTGGTACACTTACCTTCAAGATACACATGTCAAAGACGCAAATATAATAACGCTTAAACTTTAAATAATTCATTCTCCCCAATCCCATGCTTGTAACAGGGGTTGTAGAAACTTAAGAACTACCTATGTCATTACACATTTCAATTAATAAGCAAACACAAGACCTAATGTTGATTAACTAGTTGTGGCTATTTGACGATTCTTTTAGTGGCTCACCTTGTATTGTACTAGTGTCTCCATTTTAAGAGGAACATTATAGCTTGATTGTGTTGTGATTGATTAATTAGTTTTAGTTATATTTGGCCTGCTTAATATGTCCATTTCTGGTTCTAAATTGCTTTTGCAAAAGTTCTTGGACTGGTAGTAAACAGAGAGCATTTCTTTATAATGCTAGTCATGAGTTAACATGCTCAGATTTATATATTTCATAGTTAATCACTTTAAAATATGTAAGTTTATATAAATAAAATTTCTCTAGAGAACAACTAAATACTTTATGATCCTTGACATGGAAGTTACATATCTCCCCTGTTGCCAGCCATGAATGGCTTTAGATATTTGACTGATGCATGGTAGAAGGTTTCCATGTGAATGACTTTAAATAAATTATCTCTAGAGAACAAGTAAATACTTTATGATCAAAACAGTATAACCCCTTCTAAACAGTCATGTATGCCAGGAAATGGGAGCAGAATGCTTCCCCTACAAGAACCTCATCCACTTATACACTCAAATTTAAAATCAAAAGTAAGAATAGATTTGTCAAAATAAGTGTGTAGATTTTTTATAATTTCACATAACACACAACGAAATCAGGGAGAAAACAATGTAAATTCAAAGCCCTAATATCATATAACAAGTCCGACATACTCCTCGGATAAAACTCCTTAATATTTGTTACCAAAAATGTAATTGCAGGAATAACATTTACAATTAATGTGAATATCATACCAAGATAGATCGAATAGGGTTCCTTGGTCAAATTTGACAAACTCACTATCGGAAGGCTGGACATCGTCCTCGCAGATATTGTCCTTGGACTGAGTAGCCTTGACATGGAACATACTCTATGAACTTAGCTAGAATTTTGTGAGTCACGATGCGGAAGTCAGCACCAGCATCAACGTCGTCTCCCTTAGTCGTGTGCTTTGTGGCCTGAGAAAGAGAAGTCTCCGCCTCTTTGACCTCGAAGGCGTTGCCGTCGGAGAAGGATAGTCATCTTTGAAGAAGAAATCGTGGAGATTTCAGTGGCCGGTTCTGAGAATTGAGAGAGAAAGAGAACAGCCAAGGACATGGCGATTACGATGCAAGTGAGATAAGGGGTTTAAATTTGGGTCAGATTACTTTTGAAATAGAAAAACAAAATTGAAAGCAGTAAAGTCTAAAAGTGAAAAGAAAAAATAGCGGTGACATTAATGATATACAGGACACAAAACTGGCCCAAACGGGTAATTTCCACAATAAATTACTACTACTGGTTACTTCATTATGTAATAATAATAGAAGTAATGACACATAAAATTAGAGTAGTTTTGCTTTGATATAATTATCAACTTATAATTTCTAATATGTGTATTTACTGATTATTTTAAAAACTCTTAAATACCTTTATTTATATTAATCATAAAATTTATTCACTTTAATATGTTGTGCACAACTTAAAAACACATTGATCTATTAAATTTTAAAGAAAAGCGAAAAATATTCCAAATTAAATTTTAAAAACACATATTAAGTCATAGCATGCATTTATAATAATAAAAACATAGAAAAAGAACTATTAAATTGATATTATCATTTGACTAATATTTAACTTATTATCAAATCAATTTGCTATTCGTAGCTTATACTTTTACTTAGCTGGTCAGTCTTTCATCAGTAGCTTAGACTTTTACTTAGCCTCATGAATTCATGTGATCAGCTCATTAGAGGCCCACTGTTGTACCGGACCTCCCTGACCCATCGTGGCCCGAGAGCTCAACCTACATTATTTCATCCATAAATACTCCGCTTAGGGGTTGTTAAAGGGGGTTGAAAAATAATAATTGCTATGACTTCCTTCCTCTCTCTAGCTCTCACTTCTCTCTAAATCAATACTCTACCACTTATGTTTTCCGCTCGCTTTGAACTTCTACCTTCGAAGGTTTTGATCTAATATCTTCTTTGGCCGAGAGTTGATGGAGTACATGGCCCGGGAACCAATGGGGAAAAAGGGACCAAGAACCGGCATCTCGGGGTCAACAACGGGCGTCAAATGGAGCGAAAAGCGAAGAAAATACAAAAAAGATGAGATACCCGGCGCCGGTCCACCCTATACCCGGCGCCGGCCCGTCGGATTTTCGCACCAGCCAATCTAGTAGCTTACCCGGCGCCGGGTAGGTCCGATTCCGCAAATACAAAGGAACGTGCATCCGATTCTTGATGGAAAAAAACCACCTTCCTAATGATCTGAGAAAATATTTCTTCCATGCCTAATTGTTGGGCTTGAATAGACTAAAAGATGTCAATCTTTAGCCTATATTAAGCCCCCAATTCATCAAACAAGATCATCATTCCATTCTTGAAGATTAAATTTCAGTTTTTATATTTCCTTTTTGCATTTTCTTGAAGTGTTGGAGAAGAAGTCATTTCTCTCCTCTACAATTGGTTCTAGGTATTATTTCTTGAATTTTATTGCATTTCATTGTTCTTAGTTACACTTTTGTAATTAATATGAGCATTAGAGGCTAAGTTCTTAGCTAAGGCTAGGGGTGAACTTCTATGCCCACTAGGTGTTTGATAAAAGTTCTAAACCAATAAATTGTGATTTATCCTTTACATTTTGATTGTTTATGACTATGGTGTACAACATAGAAGTATGTTAAACTTAGTTTATGCTTGCAATTAACGTTGAAGTCTAAACTATGAACATTAAAGGATAAACATATATATTACCGAGAATAGAAATATATCCGATATTATATGATACGGGTGTGATGTCTTGATATTCAACGGGGTTTTCGGTAGATGAATGTAAGCCGTAACGAGTCTTACACGTAACGGAAACCACGCTCTCGCTGCCTTAACCGGAGTTGAGAATATATTAGCGACATCGTATTCATAATTATTGGTAAAGAACTAATACTCAACCCTATTAAAGCATTTAATAGGGTTGCCGAAGCCTTAGTTGTTGTTATCAATCACTTTAATCAAATTAATTCAAGTTATATCTCTGCAAATTAAAAAGAAGAACCAAGTTGTTGTTTTCATAACAACGCACAACTCAAAATCCCTGCACTTTACTCATTTATTTATTTAAAGTCATCTACTCTCGGACTAAATTAAACAACGTTTCCCTGTGGATTTGACCCGGTATTTTACCGGAATTTATTACTATATCGGCACTTGTACACTTGCAAGTTCAAACCGATCAGTCTCCTTCGAGGGCTGGGAGTTGTCTGTGCTCCTTTTGTCGTTTAACTACCTATCTGAATGTTAATGCTATGATATCAATTTAAGCCCCTTTCTTCCGAAAAAAATCAATTCTGTGACTCAAATAGGCCCAAGGATGTTTTTACTTGGATTGTAATTTGTCCCAGACCAGATCAGACCAGATCAGACCAGACCAGACCAGATCAGACCTGGGTAGTTATAAAAATACAAAAAACCCCAGACCAACAAACCATACCAGTTCAGACCATACCAGAACAGACCAGACCAGCAAGCCTACACAATATAAAATATTTTATTTGAATGATTTAACACGTCCTTGTGACAAATAATTAAAAATATGGAGTATGTTTAAATGGGGGAATTATTTTTGGGGAGATGTGATACTTTTTTATTATTATTTAATATGCGGCTAATAAAGAATAACGGAATAGCTTCTTATTAATTTGTCTTCACAAACTCAATTTATAATTCCATTAAAAAAAATTGAAATTTGTAATGTAAGATTCTGTGGCGCATGGTATAAGGGATATGGCCCCATTAATCCCTTATAAGATTTAAGGTCATGTCAGCATAGTCCAATAACAAAGGCTTTCCTTATTAATCCCTTATAGGACTTTGTAGTCAAAATTAAATCAAGTTTTGTAATAACGGATGAATGAGGAACATGTGCTATAACAGAGCTTCCATTATAATGGCCCTTATTAATTTCCATTCATTCACGTAGTGAATACTAAGCCCAACCCAAAAACTAAAAAAATAAAAAATAAAAATAAATAAATAAATTGGCCCGGCCCGGCCCCGAACCAGCCGGGTTGGTTCGCCATTTGAGGGGCCCGAGCCCGAACCGAACCCCGGCGGGTCGGGCCAACCCGGAACGGCCCTGGCCGGGCCGGCGGTTTGGGCCGGTTCACACAGTGACCGGGCTGGGCCGCCCGGCCCGAGTACAGGACTAGGTTGCCGGGCCGGGCCGGTCAGACCGGAACCGGTCCATCCTAGTCGTAACCAGATATCGGCCAACAACTACTGCCGATTGCCAACAAAGCCATAAATGTTACATATGCAGCAGCTTTTATGAAGTATAATGCAGCCAGAAAACAAGAACTAGTGCAATTGTGCAAATGAAACGAAAGACCCAAACTCAGATAGAATTACTAAAATGTTGATTGGAAACCCGTTTTCAAATTAAATCCCCAACCATTCAAATAGTGCAGTTCGACACCAATATCAAAAAGTAAAAGCTTCAAGATCATTTTCATGGAGCAAACAACACAATTGCCGAATGACTACGCATTTGGCATTGCATTCCTGCGGCACTCGGACAGCATATCCATGTAGAATTGGCACTTGCTGATGTCATTTCCAGAGGCACTCAAGCACTGCAAGGGACAGCCGAATCAGGCAGAATATTTAAGTCAAGTTTTTAAAACATTATATTTCAAATTAGCAAGTGATAGAACATTTCAGTCAAATCACACTGTCCTACTGAACTGCACAAACCAAATTTGAATATAATAACATTTGGGTATATAAAATAGATATTGAAAGAGACTTAAACTTTTTATGTAACCGCTTATACTTCCTCCGTTCTTTTTTAGTTGCAACGGTCAACATTTCACACTTGCCAACGCACATCTTTGACCGTAGTTATATTTTAATCTCTATTATTAAAAAATATTTAAAAATTAGATTTTGAAAATTTGTAATGAGATGAATTGAACAATATAATTTTTAAAAAATAATTTTCATAAAATAATAATATAAAATGTGTTCAAAATAGAACATGTGAATAGTGTAAAATTCAACATGTTGCGATTAAAAAGAGACGGAGGATAGTATATAAGAAAAAATGGAATATTGAAAGCTCTTATCTCTATTTCCACACACCAAACAACAAGCAGTAAAAGTTTACCAATCTGAAACTTACATCTTGGAAGGCCTTAAGGTGCGTATTGCAAGCCACAGAGCCACCAAAGCTGTTGGATACGGATGACACTTGAGCGTGAGGTGTTGGCACCGCAGCCATTTCATGCTGAACCTTTCGTGGACCAATTAAAGCATCTACAGCCCGATGAGCTACAGTACCGGCAGTATAAAAAGCCATACCAAAAGCCATACCTGTGAAAAAATGGAAACACGTGCAGTCTACAATTAAGGATATTTTGGTTTGTTCGTGCAAACAAAAGTTAAGAAAAGGGCAGATAGACAGCCAAAAGGAGATGGGGTTGTTTGTGAGGCTTGGCTTACTCATTTTGAGTTTTTTTCATGGTAACAATGGGGGGAAAGGATTTTTCCACTATTCCCTATTTTTTATTTATGTTCTTATAGGAAGGGCACTTTTTGTCATTCCATTCTCACCATGGTTGTTAAGATTGAATTTTTCAATGTACCAAATCAAGTGAACCAAATTGCTGATATGAAGCGGGAAGAGCATGGGGAGGGACTGGTCTTGGGCGCATCTCCGCGGGCCGGTTACGGGCTATCCTTATAGTTATTAATTATTTTAAGTTAATGTTATGTTTTGGTTTGGGCCTTTTATTAGTAGAGTACTTAGTAGAGTTAGTATGGGCCTAATTAGGATTTAATTAATTTGGGCTTGATTAGGGTTGCTTGTAGAAGGCTATTTATACCCCTCGCGAGGGTTCATTCTTGTTATCTTGGAATAAAAAAGGTTTAGCCTATTGGCTCTGGGCAACGGTATTTATTTATCGTTGATATCTAGGCAACGGTTCACCCCGTTGATTTTATTTTTCTGTTCTATCAATTACCCTGACTTCGTCCCCGAAGGCTGTCCACTATCTTTCACAAAGCTTCCCTCCGAATCCTGTAAGCTGCCACCAATGGCAGTCAACAGAGAGCGTGTGTTTGCCATTAAAAGGCTGCTAGAACCGTTGCCCAGATAATCAACGATAAATAAATATCATTGCCCAGAGCCAAAAAGCTAAACCACTTTTATTCCAAGATAACAAGAATGAACCTTCGCGAGGGGTATAAATAGTCTTCTACAAGCAACCCTAATCAAGCCCAAATTAATTAAATCCTAATTAGGCTCATACTAACTCTACTAAGTACTCTAATAATAAAAGGCCCAAACCAAAACATAACATTAACTTAAAATAATAAATAACTATAAGGATAGCCTGTAACTGCCCCACGGAAGTGGGCCCAAGCCCGGTCCCGCCCCATGCTCTTCCCGCTTCATATCAATTGCATTGCATCTAAAATTGCATTTGTCAATGTACCAAATTGCATCTAATGAGTAGATTTAGAAAGAGAGGACTAAATGATCTCGTCATCTGGCATTACCACATCAATAGAACTACAAGCTCCTTGTCTCCAATGAGTAGATTTAGAAACAGTAGAAGAGATACAAACTTAAAATTGCCTAGGCCGTTACAACTAGAAAAGGATCTCTTTAGATTTTTTCTTTATGCTTGGCTGCTTGACATGCCTCATTTTCCACCACAATCTCATACCCTTGTATTCTTCCCAATAAATGAAAGAAAGGGCATAGAAAGAGAGGTGTAGTTAATTTGTTATACTCTCTATCATTAGACCTACAAGCTCATAGTCTCGACTCTCCAATAAGTAGTTTTGAGAAGATTAGAAGAGATTTCATCCAAAAAAAAAAAAAAAGATTAGAAGAGATGTTAGTGTATTGTTGCTCGAATGTTAGATCTACAAAAAGAATCTCTTATTTTTTTGCTCATTGCTTGGAAGTTGGAAAACCTTCTTTTCCAACAAGATCTCATAGCCTTGTCTCTTTCCTGTCGCATGAAAGGAAGAGGATAGAAAGAAAGAAAAAGGTAACAGGTTTGGTATTAAGTCTTAACATTGCATCTACATGCTCGTTGTCCCCAATGAGTAGATTTAGACATAGTAGAAGTGTTACTAGTTTAGGGTCGCCTGGTTTGTTGTACCAACAAAAGGATCCCTTTTAAGAGGACGGGCACAGGCTGCTTCATTAGTAAGCCCATCTGGGCTTCATTATGGGTTATAACTTAAGTTTGATGATGATGTCTTATAACTTATACCTTCATTTTTCATTTTATCAAATAAATAAATAAAAGTATGCATAAGCTAGGTTGTGACATTCTAGTACAATATATTGAATATCCAGCTTATTAAACCAATTTACGGTACAAATTGGTTACCTTTATATTTCATAATTATTTTTAGTATTTAGTAAAGATCATAAGATTTACAAAAAAAAACATCTTTATGTTATAATTTGTTCTCCTCACTTTTACTGATATGCTTGAAACCATAGTCAAATAAAAGTAAAATAAAAATCACAAGATAAATTGAACTGTATAGAATCACCTTTAGCGATGGTAGATCCAAAGTTTCCCAACATAGACCCCCCACCACTGCTTTGCATGGGTGCTGTAGGAGGTGAACTCTTTACTGCAATAGCAAGAAAGAGTCAACGTCATAAGCAATGCTAAAAATAGTAGTACATAACCAAGCTTTTGAATTCAAATGAAATGATATTGCAGATTGTTGTTGTTCTAGATATGTTTTTTGTCATCTAATTATATATCCTTCATTCAACATGTGATGCTACGTAATATTTGTCCTCCACATATCCATCATCCAACAAATTAATCAAGATGAGAGAGAACAAACATTAAGTCCCGGCTAAAATTTATCGGTACGGTAAACTAGTTTTAACAACGAATGACAAGATAAAAATATGCTTTGGTTCCCCTCAATATAAGATCGAGATAGCAGATTCAACCGAGGGACCATCCCAGCACAAATAATTCTTACTGACCACGAAGCCATTCGTTCCTCGTTATCCTCGAGAAGATGAAGGACTTTCAGTTGAATTCACCAAATATATCCGATTTTCCCGAAAGAATGACGATCAATAATCAATTCAAACCCTCAACCAATTCAAGACATGCAACGGTTTGGGTTTTAATTTTCCACAATAAAATTGAAAATTAAAATAAATATCCGGGAAAAAAACAGATACGGAAGTATATATACAAAGTGATGATTTATAGTGCAAATGAAAAGAAAAAAAAAGGATCGAGAATACCAAAGCTCCGGCGAGCCATGTTCACAATCTGTTGAACGATGGAGGCGGCGTAAGGTAGAGAATCGACGCACGGAAACAAGCGACAGGCAGGAGAATCGTATTAGACTATTAGGGTTACACAAACCAACCAGCAACTATAATAACGCTCCTTCTCGGCGCACCTTTCTTTTTGCTAAGCGCGCCCCATTTACAACGCCATTGGACAATTATGTGTTTCGAAGGTTTTAACATTTAACCTCTGTCAAATTGCTACGGAGTATTACTACGAGCAAGTCTTTTCGAATTCCTTATTGGTCAAAAAAAAAGTTTATTCCTTCTTTAATACTCGATCTAGAAAATATTTTATTTGTTTATAATTAGATATTTTTTAAAATAATACTCCATCCGTATCACATATATCTTCCCACTTCCAAAGTGGGAGAGATTAAGAATAGTGAAATGGGGTATGAATTATTGAAGGTATAATGGGAAGATGGTGAAATAATGTGATGGAATGAAGGATAAATCCAAAAAAAGTAGGTGTAGTAGTGTATTATTTTTTAAATTATTAAGGGTATGATGTGAAGATTTAGAAATGGGAAGATATAAATGTTACGTCCAAAAAGGGAAAGTGGGAAGATATGAATGTTACGGAGGGAGTACTAATTTAAAAATAAGAACAAAAATAAGATTTATGGTTACTATAATATATCCCAAATTTGTTTATCCTAATAATTGTTGATAAAATTAGGGGGTGTTTATCTTTTGTTTATATTTTAGAATTTTTATTCATATATCTTTTGTTTAGAATTTTTATATATACACACACATACAAATATTATATATATGTGTGTAATTATTTCTCATAGTTTACATCCCATTTAAAAAATTAAAAATTGGGAAGTGAGTACACATTTATTTAAAAAAAATGTTGTAAATCTTTATTTAAAAATGGCCATCTAGAATAACTTAAATCAAATTAGTTAGAAAGTAAATATAACATTTCTTATATTAACTATTATAGAATTTAGTATGTGAAATCCAAATTTAGTCAATTCAGATAGAGAATAAGTTTTAAGTGTGCTTATTTATCCTTAGTATAAAGCAGTTATACAGTAAATTCTAAAATGTAAAGAGTAGTTATAACTCAAACTTTTTTTTCAGTTTCGAAATACATTAATAAATTTAAATAGTTTCATTGAGATCAATAGAATACATTTATTTAAAATTTATTTAACAAAAGTAACTTTAAAAAAGAATGTAATTTTAATAGCTTTAAAGCAAAAAAAAAACTGCCACCGCATCCAGTAAAGGAGGTTTCATTTTGGACTTGAACGCATAACTTTAACGAGAGTAAGGTTAAAATTGTCAACCTAGGTTACATTAAGCAACTTTGGGGGTGTACAAAGCAACCCCTATAATAATAATAATACTTATTATTATTATTATTATTATTATTATTATTATTAGGGGAATTGGTCTTTGCACCCCACATTTGGGATGAAATTGGACTTTGCACTCCATTTTTAAAAAAGTTTGATTTTGCATCCCATTTTACTTCAAAATCCTTTGATTTTGCAACTCATTTTAAAAATTTCCTTCACAAATGTTATATGATGGGGTGCAAAGTCAAATGTTTTTTAAAATGGAGTGCAAAGTCTAATATCACCAAAAAGTGGGATGCAAAGTCAAATTCTCCAAAATTATTATTATTATTATTATTATTATTATTATTATTATTATTATTATTATTATATTATATGAGTAATTATTACGGAGTATTATTATACCGTACCCTCTTGTGTAGAGGTTCAAGACTAGATATATTTCGGATTCCATCCGGAATTTAAATCGGAAACAACTTTAAAGAACCGGTTTAAACATTATTAATTTAATTTACTAAAAAATACCATTATGTATTAACTATTAATAATACTATGTTAATTATAAAAGCTTTTCAAAACAAATTAGAATTTATAAAATTGTTAATCTCATGACTCTCGCTTCTCTCTAGCGCTTCAGCCGTTTTGTCCGTCTTCGATTTTAATTGAAGGACGGCCGCTTTTTCCGTCTTCGATTTTAATCGAAGGGCGGCCGTTGTTGTTTGTGTTTCGTCCTCAGAGGGCGGATTTAATGTCATGGCTCGAATAAATCGGCGTTATGGTCAAGGTTCGAGGATGAGGCGGTGTTGTCATTGGGTATGATTGGATCTATGGGAACAGGTTTGGCTGTGTCAAGCCCACTACATGGTTAGCGATTCGTGTTGCTCTCTCAAGGGTGACCGTCTCAAAGTCTCACCATAGGGTTACAGTCATAGTTGTTGGAGTTTCAGTTGGTGTCTGTTTTATTTTCCCTTTGCTTGATGTAATGATACTGAATCTTTTGATATGAATAGAGGTGCCTGCTTAATGATAAAAAAAATACTATGTTAATTATTTATTAACTATTAATAATACCGAATCCTCCAAAATTCATTTAATTCGATTCATACCTCTCAATTCAAGTAGTAGTAGTCCTAATACTCCCTCGTCATTAACGGGAGTGAAGGTGGCCTGACACCTGCAGATTTCTCCCGCAGTGCCCCAATTATGAAAATAGTATTTTATCTTTTTTCCGAAAATTCCATATTTATGTGTCTTGGACAAAGTTTCACCACAAGGATTGTTATCCTTCAATTCCTAATTTTATATTTCCCCCAAAATATCTCATGTATTCATATAATCCAATACATCTCAAAATCACAACAAATACAACTTGCTCACAAATTAAATAATTCGATCATCATTCAAAATATACATATCATCACGTATATCAAGTAAATAATTGTTTACGAGGTAAAAATATAATTTTGGTTACAATGTGACTTACCTCGAATTGAAGAGATTCCTAACAAGCTTACTTAACGCCTTCCTGTCTAAGTTCACCTTCTACCCCCTCTGTCCCATTTTGTCAATACAAATCACACTTAATCTCTAACTTTATATATCAAATTTTTATGAAATTTGAATTTTTTTTGCAGTTTTTGTAGCGGTTTTAATTGAGTTTCCGAATGTAATTCTTTTTTCTAAAATAAATTTGAATGCAGACAGAGATAATCTTACCCATCATCCAATTAAACTCTAAATTATATAAAAAAGTGGGTGCCCTAACCAATAATCAATCCATTAATTATTATTAGTAAACCTTACTCTTTTTTATACAAGTCATAGAGTTCCTTTCCAAAAAAACGTATCACACGTCATACTTTTTCACAATATTCTCACATTTTAAACTGTATTAAGGGTCTGTTTGCAACAGCTTCTGCTTTTAAAAAAGTGCTTTTTTAAATGAAATGGGGAGAAGTGATTAAATAAAAGTTGATAGTGTTTGAGAAAAAAGTGATGTTGAAAAGTAAAAGTGGGTAGTGTTTGGCAAAATAAGTGCTTTTTGTGTAATAGAAAAAGTAAAAGCACTTTTGACGCGGAAGCCGAGAAAAATAAAAGTTGTAGTGTTTGGGAAAATAAATGCTTTTTTAAAGCCAAAAGCTGAGAAGTACTTTTTTAAAAGTAGTTGCAAACCAACCCTAAACATTTTTCAACATGTTGAGTTTCCTCTATTTAAAGTTTCTATACTTTGTCCTTACATTGTTTGGTTTATTCTTTAAAATTTGGATTCGGTTTGTAATTTTTAAATTTAATTTGCAGTTTTGAATTTCAGAACATTTTAAACTGTATTAAACATTTTTCACATGTTCAGTTTCCTCTATTTAAAGTTTCTATACTTTGTCCTTACATTGTTTGGTTTATTCTTTAAAATTTCGATTCGGTTTATAATTTTTAAATTTAATTTGCAATTTTGAATTTCTGAATATTATATTTTGCGCTTTTTTATACTCCGTATGTTTTACGTCGTATTAGTTTGTGTGATTTCTTTATTTTTTTTTAAACTTTATTTTGTGTTTTAGACTTGTACGGAGTATTATACTTGGGTAAGTAATAAGTAAATTATTACTCCCTATGTTCCCCTTATATTGTCGTGTTTTACCTTATTGGAAAATCCTACTAAAATTGTCTCATACCATATTTGGTAAAAATTTGTGCGGCTCTACATCATTCTTACTTTATTCTTACTTTTATCAATTAATATGAAGCACACAAACTCACTTTTCTTAATAATCGTGTCATCCCCTTCCATATACCAATATAAAAGGGGCGGAGGTAGTAGATTGTTGGATAATTCTTGAAGATTGTATTACTTAGTAGCTAATATAAAATATGGTCTAGAATTGTAGATCAAATATGGTGTAGAATTGTAGATCGGGAATCTTACGTAGCTTAGGAGTTAGGAATATACACTTCAGTAGGCACACTAGCTCACTTCGTTTGGGGCATCTGTGAAAGAAATATGTATCTCCGTCAATTTTTGGAAAAAAAAAATAAAGGGTGACAAAATTAGGCTATGTTTGCTATTGCTTCTGGTGCTCAAGGGTGATTTTTAAAAAAAAAAATTATTGAAAAAGTGATTTCTAGTGAAAGTAGGGGAGTGTTTGCAATTGCTTCAACTTAAAAAAAGTGATTTTTAAAGTGATTTTGGGAAAAGTGATTAATAGTAAAAGTTGGTAGTGTTTGAGAAAAGTGATTTTTAATGTAATATTTTGTTGAAGACAATAATGCCCCTACATAGAAACAGTCTAGCAACAGATCATGGAGCTAAAAAAATCTACAGCCATGGCCACTAGATTTCTGGAAGACCATATTGTTGCCTTGGGTGCCATTCCTTTCCCCATATAACTGTGATGGTGGTCCCTTGCACATGCTTCTTTGTGTTTTTTTATATCCGCATCGGAACTTGACCCGATTTAGAATTTGGGTGGTATCTCGTCGGGGATGACAACTGAAATTTGGCTGGAAATTACCGTGTTCACCATGGCCCGGTAATGAAATTCAACAGAGGAGGTGGTCGATATAGGGGCGATGAACAACAATCCGGTAAAGAAATTGTCTTTGTAGACAAGGGTAACTTAGGATTTGGGAAAAGTTAAGGTATAAAAGTCCCCTCAAAGTAGTACATATTTACAAAAAGAAACCAAAAGCAGATAAAAGCACCTCAATGGTTGCTTCAGCTTTTGAGATATAAGTGCTTATATTTAAGTAGAATTTTGTGTTTCCAAACACTTGTTTTAGCTTTTGAGAAAGCAAAAGCCCATAAGTGCTTAAAAAACGCAATGGCAAACACAACCTTAATATGTCTCTAGTTTTGAACCTATTTGT